TTAGATAGCTACTAGAGATGTGTGATTGATTAAAAAATGCTTCAAAAGTCATTACAAAATGCGGGGCGCTGGTGCTTCATTTTTGAAGTGTTTCTAAATATCATTGGTGAAAAATTCATTACTATAACAAGAGTAACAAAATTTTGTTACTATTTCTTTATAGTAATTGCACACAATTAAAATTACTATAATTGGGGAAACTTCAGGGGCTCCTTTCTCTGTCAGTTTTACCTCTATTAGCACACCAAATTTCAGAACGTTTCCATGGAATCTTGTTTAATAATAATAATAAATCTGTTCCTAGTTTGAAAGTGCCATCGGCCGGTTGGCAGGACTGGCTGGCAGGGCCGCCACTCGGACATCAGCGGCATTTCGTCATCTCCTGCTCGGCGGCCTGACGGCGTTGGAGCCTAGAGCGAGGTCGGCGTTCATCATCTAGCCGCCCTTCCAGACGCCTAGGCATTCCATCTGGTGCTTCTCCCCTTCCTCAGGGAAATCTGCCCCCTGACCGGCCTGGCTTGGGTCAGAGCCTGAGGGCGGCCAAACGGAGTTGTTGTTGGACCATAGCCTGCCTGAGGATCTCTGGGTCCAAACTGTGTATACCATCTTCGCTACCAACTATTTTAAACGTGTGCTGGTTTTTAGTCTTCACTATTTGGACTGCCATCTTCCCATGAATTGGGTCATCTTTTCAGAGGACGACAAGGAAGAAGAACCAGGGACTGGGCCCAAGGGCGCCGGTTTGTTCTTCACGGGTCCAGGGAGCTGGGTCCCTTGGTCTTTGAAATTATCGTCCTGACTGACTATTAATACTGGACTCAAGTCAGAAGGCACCAATTTTGCACCTTAGGATTACCATTAGCACTAAGCCACTTTAAATCTGGTTAGTTTGTGAGTGATCACAGCAAACAGGCCGCGGCGGGACGGGAGGCAGAGGTTACAAAGCCTATCGAACGCTTGCGTCGTGTCTTAGATAGCTGGTCGAGTAAGTAAACGGTTGTGGCGAGCTGTATGATTAGATCGCTCTCGTCTGGAAGGGCGGCGGAGAGAACGCGTCGCCCCCCTATCCTCCCAGGTTGCCTCGGGGGCGGTCTCTCCATTTTTTCGTATTCCCGTTACGGCTTGTTTTTCGTCGCTTCTCGATGTCCGCCTCGCTTGGACTCCTGGTATTCTCGTGTGCTTTTTTGTGCCTGGAGCTCGAGTGTGAGCTGTTCGATCTTTCAGTTCCTGCCGTCTCAGTACTCTCTGTGTCCTGCTAGTATTCACTGTTCTATGAGTGTCTATCCGTCCGGTTTGAGGGCCGAGCAATTGGGTCGTGG